GGGTCTTAGGAGGAGGTTCTGATTTCAAGTTAGCAGGATTCAACTTATTTTTTTTTTTAGCACAGTGTTTTCGTTACAAATGCACTTGTAGGTGCATTGACAAACTGGTGGTATTTGTATCAACATTTTAGTAGGTTCCTTATAGTTGCATTTTTCTTTCAGCTTGCCAGGAGTAAAGAAGGCTTTGGGGAAATACGGTCCTGCTGATGTTGAGGACACAACAGGTGCAGCCACAGATAGCAAAGATGATGATGACATTGACCTTTTTGGATCTGATGATGAGGAGGTACTTGTGACCTTTCTGTATTATGTTTGGGTTTTTTTGAAATTAACCCAGGTATGCAGATTTTTGCCTTAGCTAGTTTAAGTTACTTAAGTTTGTGACCTTGATAAGAGATCCTGCTTGAAATTCTCAAATTCAGTTATCTTTGAAGAATAGGAAAGCTTGGAAGGTAAACACTTGAGTTAGAAAATACTGTGTTGCAATGGGGTCAGCTGTCCAACTTTGACTGGTTACATGATGAATAAAACAAAAAATCACCATCTTTCGGCTGACAGTTGTGATGTTTTGTTTTTGTCTGAGTAGATGCCAGTCAGTTTGGTAATGCTTTGGGGACATGAGGTTTTGGTGCTTTTCTGTAACTGTAGATTTCTCTTTCAGGAAAGTGAAGAAGCAAAGAAACTGAGGGAAGAACGCCTGGCACAGTATGAGTCAAAGAAGTCCAAAAGTATGTGTGCCGAGAACTTTTAAATTTTTTGTGCTTGGGTTAATTTTCACGCATTTGAACAGGGTGGCTGGAAGCACTAATTAATTGTAGTAATAGATCAGCTTGACTAAAATGAGACGGGAGTGATGAGCTTTATTGAATTGCTGTATGCTCAGTCCTCCCATAGTAAATGGGAACTTTAACATAGTTTTTGTCTTGCTTAAAACACTCTTGCTTGTTTTTCTAAGAGGCTGAGCTTTTTATATAAACAGATGTAATTCAAGGATTATCTTTCAAAGTTCAGAGAAAAGGCTGCAATATGCAAGTCCCTCCACAGCTACTGGTCTGGAACTGTTCAGAACTGTAGCAGTTGCAGTATTCCCTCTGTGGAAAATAAACTGTTACACAGCATTAAGCTCCTTTTCAGATCCTTTGAAAAGGACTTCCTATGTAACAAACATTGTCAGCTGCTTAATCTGTGTTCTGTTATGAGACTTGTTTTTTAAGAACACAGTGGATTTACACACTGAATGCTGGGATATACGTAGCTGCAGTACTTCAGAAGTGTACATTGGTACCAGAGGCCTGTCGCGGCAATGTGAGGAGGTTCTTGTTCCTGGAATTGGAAAAGTTGCTCAGATAATAAAACTAGTTTGCAAGTATATTCATGAGTGTTTGAAAACTTCCTAGCTTTTAAAGGCAATTTTCTTCCCCCAGAACCAGCTGTTGTTGCCAAATCATCAATCTTGCTTGATGTGAAACCTTGGGATGATGAGACAGACATGGCCAAACTAGAGGAGTGTGTTCGAAGCATTCAAGCAGATGGCCTGGTTTGGGGATCTTGTAAGTATGAGAAGATTCCGGAGCAGGGAGAGAGTGTAGTCCCTTAGGATACATTTTATGAATAGTTAGACTTGTGGTGACTGCTGATCTCTGAAAATGTAGCTAAAACTGCAATACCACTGTACTTCAGTATCTTGACATAGTCAGAAAAGGTGATTAGTGCAGTGGTCCAGTTAAGAATCAAATACAGATTTTAAAAACTATAAACCTAAGATGCTGTTATCCTGCATCTCCCTGTACAATTCCTGATGCAGCAGACAAACACCCATACACCCACATCACTGGTTTGGAGAGGAGGTGGAGGTCCCTTTTCAATCACTTGTAGTGAATCCTGTGTTGTTAATTAGGTAGTCCATAATGTGGAACAAATGATGTTTTTATGTATTCCTGCAAACTCCTTTGGTCAGTTCAATCTTAGATCTGTGTTTTTAAGAGATTCCACCAATTGAGGAGTACTAAATGCCTTTTTTTATTTTACAGCCAAGCTAGTACCTGTTGGCTATGGTATCAAAAAGCTTCAGATCCAGTGTGTTGTTGAAGATGATAAAGTTGGAACAGATATGCTGGAAGAGAGAATAACAGCTTTTGAAGATTATGTACAATCAATGGATGTAGCTGCTTTCAATAAGATTTAAATCTTGATATATCTAGAATAAATGTTGTTGCAAAAAATATGCTGTGCCTGTGCTTAATTCAAAATTGCGGAGTAATCCAACTCACAAATGTAAGATTTTGTTAATGGGTAAAGTAGAAGCGCGAAACTGAATTTCAAGGTTGCTCTGACACCCCACTGTAGTACCCAAGAGCATGAGCAGAGAAAATAGAAAATTTACATTTACCATCAAAATCGAGTTAACATTATCATGGCTTTAAAATGCTCAAGTGTTCTTTGCTCCACTTGCAGAGGAAATTGCATCTTTGGAAATGTCTGTGATTCCTCTGGAAGGAGGGATGACTTCAAGGGAAAAGAATAGGGCTCAAAGTGCAAATAACTTTTTAATGGATAAGTAGTATAAGTTCCTTTTGTTTAATAAGGGTGGTGACTAACCAAACATACCATGGCTTTTGTTGAAGGCTAAACCAGTGCTTTGGTGAGAGTGAGATGAAGGTAACTGAATCAACTGTAGTCTCAATGGGACTTGAGATTACCCTGGTACCTTCTCATGTGTTGTGTGACTTGTTCCTCTGAGGGTTGGAAACCTTTGCAGTGAAACGTCAAGTTTTGCTTCTTTCCCGGGGATTCTTGGTACAGCAACAAATGTTGATCATAAACTGCGCCTCTGGGAGGCGCTGCGAGCTCGGTGGCAGCGGTGTCCGAGCCGGGCAGCGTTGGGAGTGATCAACGGGAGCGCTGCCCAACGGGAGCGCTGCCCGCGGGTTGCAGCTAATGCAGATGTCTGCTTTACTTATATAACTTGACGCATGCTCCTGGTTAAAAACAACAACTAAAAAAAATTCGTTGAAATAAAACGCAAATATATAAAGTAGCAAAATTAACTCCAGTTTGAGCTGTTTACTTGGGTCTAGATTAGTTTCTAGATTGATACTGACTTTTTATTTTCATGATTGAAGAATGAATCAGAAATAAATTGTTTTCCAAAAAATTTCCATAGGAATGATATGAACGTAAAAGCTGTTGCAGTTGTGAAGCTTCTAGATAAATTCACAGTTCTATGCCTTCCATTGGATTGACAGGATTTATTGTGACCATGAAATGGATGCCTTTTCTGTGCCACATTGGTCTCTGAGACGAAGATGCTCAGTGCCAAAGCCTGACAACAGCAGCTTAGATAACTCCTTTTGTTCTTTTTTTCAGAGAGCATTTGTGTGGTTATCTGGCACAGCAGGTCCTGTTTCTCCTTGTCTAAAGGTCTACCAGCTTCAGATAATGTAAGATCTTTGTTTATAATTTGTCTCAGAAAAAAAAATCTGCCTGCTAAAGGTTTAAAGCATGGTTAAAGATTTGAAATAAGTATAATTACAGGCTCACTCGCCACCTTCCATAAACTCCTAAAAGGCTAACTTCATCCCATGTGTAACTAATGCACAGTACCACTTCTGTGGCAATTCTCTAGCTGTTGCTTCTGCTAAATCGGGTACCTTAGTTTTAGCAATTCTGTCATGGCTGCTGTTAAAATCAAGAAATTAGTAAATGCCTCATCATAAAAACAAAAATTCTGCTACAAAAATATAATTTTTATTATCCTTGGCCATCACTGCTTCTGACTTCCCCTTCAATGTGCTGCTTACCTTTAAACTCCTTCCTTGGCCTTGAAATTAAAGCTCTAACTGGATATAATGGTTTAATTTATAGACAGTAACATTGCTAAAATACAGCCCCATGAGCCATCCATGTGACCTGCTAGACTGGATTTGTGTGTGTGCTACATTTTTGCTAAGCATGCACCTACAAACTCTTCAGTTGTTGAGATTTCTTTTGTGTTTGATTTTTCTTTTGTTTGCTAATTTTTTTCCCCTGATGTTAGAAGGGAAGTTGCTGCACAAGAACAAAATAAAAAAAACCCTAGAGAGCACAGTCTCCCCAGTGAGAAAATAGATTGGCATGTGGACAAGAGAATTCCATATAATCCACATATATCTACATGAGAGGGTTTTGTGTAGTGTTTGGGTATGTGCTGGTGTATTACTGTGGCATTGTGCCTGTGAAAAATCAGCATCTTAGAGTAAACAAGGCAAGTATCCCAAGTGCACCCTGTAACAGAAAGATCAGTAGAAATTTCCATACTTTAAATGTGTGATACATGGCAATACTGGGGAAAGAGTTTTAACAAAAACTAACCCACATGAAAACCTTCAGAAGCACAAACTGTCCAGGAAGGAGATAAAATTAACCAGAACCTATCTATTATAAAATATGTCAATAGCTCTTTCCATAGTATCTCTTACCGTGATCAGATAGATCCCCTCTTCTGGCTTTTCTTTTCTGTTGTGGGTTGAACGAGCATCCTTCAGTCCAAGAAGCAGAGAATTGTTGGTCTTTTCTTGCAGATGCTCGGGAAACAGAAACTTAGAGCATTATTTGTTTTGTTTAGGTATCTTCCATTACTTTTGAAGAAATGATCTGGAGATAATTCTGCAACTGATCTTGGTGCGAATGGTAGTAGTTACATTGCAAAATTGTTAATCCACTTAATTCCATAGATCAAGGCTGATTTTGGCCCTATTCAATTCTATTCTCTCTCGTCTGCTTCAGGGCATGCTTTCTGATCATCTATGCAAGACAGCATATATGTTCTCCCTTTTGAAAATCAGCCTGTGACTGTATATAGGAATATATGTGCACACATAGCTGATGTGCAACAAGAAACCTTAATTCCCATAGTAGAAAGAGTCAGTGCTTGCTTTCATCTTCCAAAATCTTTGGGAAGGAGCTGTTATAAGAAAGGACAGTTACTGCATATTGCTGCTAAGAAAAGCAAATGAACACACTCTTTGGAAACAACAAAAATTTTATTACTTCATTTGGACTACAGTCAGGAAAGTACATCATTCCTAGAAAGATGTCAGGGAACATGTGAAGAAAAACTCCAAGATGTTTCATTTAGGCATATTCAGCAGCACAGTGCCAAAATATTATGATGAGTAACTATGTACCATGCAGCAAATGACTCAAAGGAAGAGTGCTGCTTACTAGCTTTCTAGCCTGAAGTGAAATACGCTGAAATTCCACTGATCCTGCCTGACTCTCCCAGGCTCTGAAACCAGAGCCCAAAGAAATAGTTAAAGACCAGTCAGACTGTTTCTATTTGTACAGCTACCAGTACTGGGTGTGGTCACGCATACATATATATATATTTTATACAAATGCAAATCTATTTACATATAAGGCCTCAATTACAGTATAAATGCTACTAATGTGTGTTGGCAGGCCATAGAAACTAGGTAGATTATCTGAAAGGCAATTTTATTCTATATACCTAAGCCAATAGCAAGTTAAAAACAGTTCAAATTTACCCAAAGCTCTGTGCTTTTACTTTTAGTGGAGTTTCGTCCCACATTCAACTTTTTAATTAAGTGGTATTGCATCAGAAATTGATTCGCTCCACATAGCATATCTGTATGTATATATATTTGCATTGGTGTGTGTGATTCTGCAGCAAGCAACAAGTTGGAACAGAACACAGCATAACTGGGACTACTTCATCTTTCTTATGGGAGTGGACTCCATTTCCTGGATGAACTGTCTTGCCTCTCATTTGGCAACAAAGTCCAAATTTGGCTACAGACTTGTAACAGAATATTGTCGAATTCACTACACCCATTTTTTGAAGCTTGACATTAAGGCAAACAAAATGTTATTTCTTTATCTTTGCTTGACAGAGCAATAAAAAGCAACCAATAGTTGTAAACCGCTGTAAGCCTAAAAACTTAAAAGAAGTATGGCACAGGACCTTTAATCTCAGCTTCTGCAAGAAATATTCTCACTAATTCTTTGCACATTTCAAATGAACCTAATACCTGTATGAAACATCTGCTCAGTATTTCGCACCCAGCTAGTGCTAAAAGCACAAGAATAAGTGACCAGAAAACATAGGGTCTCCTGTCTTAATTTTGAGTATAAGATAAAGAGCATTGGGAGAAGACAGATTTTATTTCCGTATTTTTCTTTTTTGACAAGAGAAGGCAGCAATTCAGTGTTCTCTGTCTTGGGATCATTCTCCAGTTGCAGAGCACAGCCACTTCACTTAGCTGGGATGTAGCTAGGTGACTCCTACTTCAGGCAGCACTAGGCAATCGGGACTCATGGCCACTGATGTATGGCTACAACCTCTTGGATGAGACTGCCTCAAACAAGAGAGGTACCAGTGATGGCAAGGAGGAATATTTTTAGTATGTGCTCTTTTGATATCAATGAGGTATGGAACCATAGCAAAACAATGGGATTAAAACAATATTCCTCATCAAAAACCCAGCTGGAGTAATTCCACTTATGCTGACAACTTTCAGCTCAGGCTGTATGTGCATTGCAAGGACACCACACCCAAATGATGTGTCCATTAAAAACCTTTCAATTAAAGCAGCAAATGCAATTAAGCCAACTGTTTATAGAAAACTGTATATGCAAAGATGCATATCTGACTGTCAGATGTGAAGTCAAGAACAACTCCAAATCTCCCGTCAGCTTTTCTGGAGAGGGATGTTGACGAGAACAGTCACTGGGCAGTTTCACAATAGTGCACAGGCGCATGGCTGTTTTCCGAGCTCCACAGCTGCTCGCTGACAGTTCCTGAGCGGCTCACTTCCCACAGAGCCAGTTTTAGCACCTCAGAGACTGTTGTCTTGACCTGGGCCTGGAACTTTTTGCTTATCAGAACATAGAGGATTGGATTGAGGCAACTGTTGATGAAACCAAGGCCAGTGGAGAGCGGAATGCCATCCTGTAGTAAGTCATGCAAGTTTTCGTCATGGTGAGCAGACAGCTCCACAATGCTGAATATGTGATATGGTGTCCAGCAAACAAAAAAAGCTACAACTACAGCAATGATGGTCCAGAAAAGCCTGCTAGAAGTCAATACAGTTCTCCTCTTCACTTTGACAATCAGCAATGAGTAGCAAATGACCATGGTCACTAAAGGGAAGAGGTAACCAAACGCAAGCCTCACCCAAATGAGAATGTGATGTGTCAGCAAAATAAGTTCTCTGTCGTGCACATGGAAGTTGTTGTAGCAAATGGTGACATTGTTCAGAACCGTAGCTGTGTCTCTAAAGTATAAGGCAGGGCCACCAATAATTGCAGCTGACATCCAAATGACCCCACTGAGAACAAGGGTGTTCCTTACAGTCCGATACTTGTAGGAAAAGACTGGGTGGACAAGGCGGATGTAGCGGTCAAGGCTAATGAATGTCAGGAAGAAAACACTGGCAAACATATTAAGTAGTGCAATGAATGAGTTCATTTTGCAGAGCCACTTCCCAAAAGGCCAGTGGAAGCCCATTGCCACATACGTAATATAGAGGGGCAGGAAGAGAACAAAAATGAAATCTGCAATGGCCAGATTGAGGAACCAGAGGGTAGAAACAGATTTATCCCATTTAAAGCCCATAAACCAGATGACAATGGCATTACCTGGCACTCCCAGCAGAAATGCCACACTGTAAAAGAAAAGGGAAATAATATGGGCAATGCTGGGGGAGGACTGGGGTGACTCATCTTCCTCAGACAGGTCGTAGAAATAAGAATAATTCTCAAAATCTTCAAATGTCATGCTGCAGAGTTGCTTTCTGGGGAAGAAAAGAAATGAAATGGTCAGAGGAGAAAAGTTTTACTGTGCTGTAAATAGTAAACTGCAATTCTTTTAAGTTCTTGTTCATAAAAAACCCCCAAAACATTGACTTACATATCTATCACATTTTATGTCAGTTGCTAGCACAAAGCTCGTGAAGAATTCTGGTCACAGGCATTTTAAGGAATGTTCAAATCAAAACAACACTTGAAATCTTCAGGAACTGTTTTCCACATGTTGACTTCTCAGTGACAGCACTGAGCACAATATCACTGGTAAATTTCTAGGTGACCAGATGCAAAATTTTACTGAATGATAGAAAAAGAATGATTTTACTATTCTTTTCTGGTCAAGTTTCATACTTTATTGCTCTGTTCCTACACGAAGCAAGTTTTATAGATTATATCTGTCTAAAATCAGAGGAGCATCAGACATCTATGTAGGCAAAAAAGTTCACTTAAAACACCAGGAAGGCATTTTTTATAAAATTACACCCACCACCCCCGCCTCAAATTATAGTTGACAAAATGACAGTGATTTCTCAAGCAATTAAAAGTTCATGGGTTTATTAATCTCTACCATGTATCTTTGTATCAAGGAATGATGATTCAACATATTAGATTTCCCCAATGCAGCAAAAGATGTACAGAAAGAAATATACAGAACATATTTCAGGGATAATACATACAACTATACTATTCTTCCACCAGTGAGCTGAGAAACAGGCATAGATGAAAGAAAACAAAGCTTCCCATGAATACAACAGACACTGTAAAAACTATGGATGAAAATGTGCGTGCCTCCTTTTTTCTTTTTATTTCAAAACAGAAATTTCAGAATTTTCTGGTTTTTTCTCTTGCAAAAGCATCTGGAACTTACAAGTACAACATGATTTTTCATATAGGAATTTTCTTATGTGGGAGGGAGAGAAGGCAGTAGGGGAGAGGAGAGTGGAATATAAACAAAAGAAAAACTCTGAAAACAAAAGTATATTAAGGAGAAAACAGATAGCAAACAGCGGTTGAACAAGAAAAAAAAAGGCAGTCAGAATTTATGTGACAAAGCTGCATAACACTACAGGTGGCCACAGTCTGACAAAAGTATCTGCAATGGTCAAACCAATTATTCTGCCAAGCTCTGTTATCATTTAAAGCTATGTTGTCTGGTTGGATTCAGTTGCACTGAGAACCTGTCCCTGAGAGCCGGATGCAACCAGTCCATTAGCTGTACTATGAATGATCTTACCGCTACACTTCTGAGTGCTATCTCCATTCCGAAACCGAAATTCAGCCCGAGCTTTTGGAACTCAGCCCTGCATTCCTGTAATTCCATTCATTACAGCATGCTAAGGACAACAGGAGAGGGGTCTCCTGAGCACACTGCCTGCAGAACAACATCTGCAAGCTTGCATTCATGCACATACCTTTCCTCCAAAAAAGTAGTTCTCCCAGTTTGAAAGGATTACTCACACAAGTGAAGCTACGCATGTGCACACGCATTAGCAGGATTAGATTTCTCATTTGTAGATGGATGGACAAGGAGGAAAAAAAAAAAGGTTGTGTAATTTTATATCTCTTGATTAAAAAAAGATGTAGTAAGTAAGAGTCAATACAGCCTGTCCTGTCAAGAGGCTATGATAGCATTTGCTCTTTTTAATTTACATCAGGCTGAAGGAATGTTAGTTGGTTTGCTGTCCTGATAAAATGATACTTATTGGGCTATATTTATGTAATTACCCCTACATTATGTAATCCACCCTTTTGAGGGTGGATTCTGCATTAAATACCACTACCACCCATCTGAGTAATTTTTTCAAACAGCCTAACAGCTGCTGAGAGAATAGTATAAACATGGAACAGTACCACGAACATCTGGAACAACAATATATTTGGACAGTTTCAGAGGACAGTCAGGTTAATAATTGGATTTTTAAGTGGTTTTGCCTATATAAAGAACTATACCTTCAAATCTGCAAAATCTGCAGATTGCATTTGCAATTAAACAATAAAAAAAAAAATCCAACTCTTTAAACTCTTGCTGAATAACATGCTCTATTTCAGACACTAATAAATTTTGCTTTTAAGAGTTAGCACAACATAATAATACTTGAATTCAAACATTTCCTCACAGACTTTTTTTCCGTAATGTTGCTAAAAAAACCATAATGACAAACATTTGCCTATCGCCCAACAATGTTAATTTTATGTTTAGTATTTCAAAGATGATGTATAGCAGGAGAAAGAAAACACACATAAATAAATGCCAAATATTTACCAAGCCTCCAGTAGTTTAAAACTCCATTGAAAGAGCACACCTTCAGGATGCAATTATTTTTCCAAGCTTATATGTTTCCTTATCTCTAGTCTTCCAATGCAATGACTCTTTTGCAGTGGGAGTAAGAAAGCAGGAGGAACGTTGTTTACCACTGCTCCCAGTGCACAGATGCTGAAACTAAACTCTGTGTCTCGGGTTCAGCAAAGATTGCCAATTACATTTGCAAAGTCCAGGAACTTTTACCTCTGGCACTGACATGTATGAAGTACTTCTATAACAGGACTCAGAGTGTTAAGCCCTGTTCTGAAAAAGATAAGCAGTAGGTGATTGTCAGGGAGCTATTCTGGTTTACCAATAAGGACACAGATTTTTTCTATTAATCATCATTCAGCAGGGATGTTTCTTTGTGATCTTAAAACACACTATCTCAAATACATGACTCTGAAATTAATAAATTTTCAGAGTCAGAGGTGTCTTGCAGTTCAAGTCTAGGTCTTGAAAGTGAAGAAATCTAATTGTATTCCTCATTCTGATACTGATTTCCTGTATGGTCTTTGATAAATGGCCTAATTTCCAAGCTGGAAAAAATTCTCATGAACCTGTCTGCAAACTGAGGCTCAGTAGAGAAAACAATACTTTTAGACAGCAGTTTCTTCTTAGCTTTCAGGCAACTGTTAGAAAGGGTAAGGGAGGTTTTGGTGCGGTTCACTGGCTCAGTCTCTGCTGGTCTGGGGAGCCAGTGCATGGAAAATATTTTTCAATAAACAGGAAAGTGTGGTTAGAGGTCTGCCAATAAGACTTGGGAGCAGCCACAGGTTACAGAACAGTGTTCTATTGCCTATGGATTAATATAACCAAGTTTAGACTTCATCCTGTCCTTTTTTAAATTTTATTTTAAATACTAAACACCCTGTGTAACGTGTATGCGCAGCAGTGGTTTGACGAGTCTGTTCCTGTTTGCTGAGGTCATAAGCTGCTTTGAAAACTGAGCCTCCTTGATTCAGTTGCTTAATTATGAAAATAGTTGACCAGGAGGTTTCATTTCCTGTCCCCTTCTGTAAAATAGAAGTTAATTAGTAAATGACTTCATAGGAATATCACAGGCTAGCACTTGGTGCTTCTAGATCTTGAGACAGAAAGCAGAATTAGCAGGAAATACAAATCATTAGGACAAATTTCTAAAACACAAAGCCACAGAACTGCTGAAAACAGACTTCACTGCGTTGCACAAAATGTCTTTCTCTGAATTTCAGCAGGGAATTACAAACTTGGATCTCAGTTGACATATTCATAGTTTTTTTACTTAAAGTACCTAGAGTTTGTTTTCTCTGCCCCTATGTAGTTAAGCCATAATGACAACTTGGACAAATTGTTGGATCTGCCTAAAATAGAATAGCTTTTGTCACACTAAGAATGGCTGTTATGACATGGGACTAGTACTCTGGAATCTATTCATGGCTAGGCCACATGCACCCTGTTTGACCAGGGGAAGTCGTTTGACCTCTCCACACCTCAGCCCTGAGGTCAGTGGAACAGCTTTGGAATTAAATTACATTGCATTTTCAGTCTAAAATAGAAGAAAACAAACAAAATAGTTGCAATTTTTGCCCACTTCACTTTATGCAAAGTCTTTGTGGGGGTTCAAAGTTCCCTGGGCACCACACAAGTTAGGACCCAACTGAATTACACTGGCAATTTATACCACATGTTTGGTATAACACAGCCTCTCTCTCACATTTGGTCCTCATTATCTTTGAATTTTACGGAGGTCCAAGGAAAGAGTTTATTCATTGCCTATGTCAGTTAAAAGTTAACACAAATATTTGAGTGGTAGTCCCCAAATTTATTTGTTCAGTGTGATAAACAGTGTTCAGAGCCCCTGGCCAGCTAGATTGGTTTCAGAGGTCACAGTAGTGAGTTCTGACTTACTAGGAAAATCACAGTTTGCAGAGTTGGCTGTCTCAACAGTTCAGTTCATAGAGGGAATATATTACACAAACTCTCCTTTTAATGTCTTTATGAATAATTTTGAGCATATCACATTCCATGTGTATTATTTATGGTTAAAGGAAAGCTTATTTGATTGAGTCGCTTCAACTTCTGTCATTTGCAAGCACCAAATGTTGGAGAACAACTAGTTTCACAAAAAAAAGCCTCCTTGTCATACTGTGCATCAACAAGTTTATCTGGGCATTGAATCCACTTGAGAGCCCTCAAATATTTTTCTGGGAACTTCTGAGGTGACAAATTTTGAATTTATCTAGCTCAAAAAACAAAACATGAAATTCATGGGGTAGTTTATCTAAAACTTTTAAGACTCAGAAGGCTAAGTAAATTCATTAGAGGTACATATGTATTTTTATATATTTATATTTTATATTTTTATATTTGTATTTTATATTTATATTTTTAAATATATATTACGAAGACATAAGAAAGATTACGAAATGCACAAGGAATACTGATGAGATTACAAACTGTCACACACTCATATTTCTCCCTAAAAGAACAAAGCCAAGACAACCACCTGCCTCTATGTAGAAACCTTCTTATAGCAGTGCCTGATACACCTGTACTACAAAATTAAATCATAGCTATGCTAGAGTTTAAGCCTAAAGCTGACCCTGCAGTCAAAGCTACCAGGCCACAAGCATTTTAAGGTACTACACACAAAGGCAGAATCAAGGCTTGTGTGTATGTTTTCTCTTTCACAGACATGTACAC